AGGACACAACTGACCAGCTCGGCATTTTGCTAGTGGCAAGCTGCCCTCTCCTTCCCGTTATCGCTACCACGGCATCACCCGAGACACAATTAAAAATCAAGCATGCGGAGGAATTACCCCTAAAGCCAGGGAGATTGTATCTCTGCTGGGAAGGGGAGAGCGAGAGGGGGATGAGGCAGGAGTCGCCAGCCGCCCACTGGCCTCAGCTATTGCCCAAACGCCGGCCAGGGCTGGGGAAAGTGCTTGATCCCGATCCCAAGCACATGGAAGTCATCTGACGTTTTGTCACGGTTTCCTTGCATTTGGGATCGGGCCGGGAGTTTGTCTTGCATCACTAGCAGAGACGTTATGCAGGTAGCCAGCGAGGAGGCGAGGCGCTGCATCGCACTGCCAGTGATTTTCTTTTCCGAATAGCCTGCAGGGATGGCCTTACATCACGCCAGCTGCACGGTATGGTTAATAGCTTCAATTTTGTGCTTAACTTTATCGCTGGGTTCCTCGAGAAGACGTTTATATCGACGCTCTGTGGCCACACAGAGAACCCAGCAAACGGCTCATGCAAACGGCTCATGCAAACGGCAAGAATTCGAAATTTAGGGCTTTGCAGAAGGGATGCTATGGGATGGATTCTCCCCTGCCAGCAGCAGGGATTAGGAAGGATTCTCAGGAGCGGCTGTTTACAGCAGACGGCTTGGCCTGGCCCGCTAGGTGACCCGTCCCTTTAGGCAGGTGCAATCCAGCTTGAAAAATGGATTTTTCAAAGTGCTGGAGCCAAGGCAGTCAGGCTCAGGCTTCATAACTACCCCCTGCTAGCCAGTGCCAAGCTGGAAGCAGCCCTTCCTTCTTTTACTTGGGCAAGCTTTTATTATTTTGACCAAACCAGGCTGAAAAAAAAAAAAAAAAAAAAAGAAAGTAATAATTCAGATCACTGGCAAAAATAAACAAATAAAAAAAAAGCCCAGAGTGCCCACTCTGCAGAGTGAGACGTCAAAAGGCCGCCAGTCAGCTCATATGCATCTCCTTCAAGCCGAGGGCAGTTTCCTTCTTACTGCACAGATGAAATTGTTCATAAATCTTTGCACCTTTTATCCCAAACCACGTGAAAGGAAAACCTGTCTCCCGCAGAGCTTCGGAATGCCTCAAACGTACCGAGGAACAACCAGGCAAAAAAAATCTAACAATTGTTAACGTTTTATTCCCAACAGCTGTTCAGCCTGAACAGTTTCATTAATACACTAACAAAACCAACAAAAACATCAAAACAAATAAAACAACAACAACAAAAAAAGAAGGGGAAACGGAGTAAAATAAACTTTAACAAAGTTTAAAACATTATAAATAAGTACAGCTCCAGAGCATAATTTACAAATATAAAACCACATAGAAACATATGTACAGAAGAGTTACATTACATACAAATATGTATAAAAATACCCCAGTGTTTATTCTCGTGCTAAAGCTGCATGGCTAGAGTTATCTTTGGTACTAAGCTCGGGGGAAAAAGATTGTTTTACAAAACATGGCCCTAGCTGTACAATACGCCGTACACAGGAAGACCAGAGCGAACCTCTGAGAGTTTTGGGGAGGTTTTGGGTGTTTTTTTTTTCCCAAAGTGTCCTCCTGTACATTGCATATTGCAGGAGCAGGGCAGAGAGAAAGGGCTTACAGAGGCAACTGCTGGCAGAAGAAATTTTTAATACATTGTACAAGGCACTTCATAAGAAATCTCTTCATTTTTTTTCCTGTTCTCTTCTAAGACTCACTGGATGTCTACTTGGTTCTTGCTGATAACGTTTAATGGTTATAGTTTTTCAGCTTCTTATTCTACATTCAGGATTCGAAACCTCAGAAAACTTGAATTCAGTTCACTTTCATCTGCAGAGCTTAGAGGGCAAGCCATCTAAAGCACCTAACGTTTTCCAGGATGGAGAAAAGACTTTGCATCTGCCTTCTGCTGGTGTTCGTGGGGTGTTCTGGTTTTAAAAGGTGAGAAGCTCTGTCTTCCTGGAAGAACTCCTGGGAAGTGTCCACATTGAAATGCTGTTTGCCAAAAGCATACGGTCCTCCATGCTGCCAAACACGCCTGCATCTCCCGTTCCCTTTGCAGCGCTCGCTGGCTGCCTGCCCCAGCGCCCTACACCTCTGTTCCATCCCGGGTGTAGATGAGGCTGTTAACCGTGAAGTTGTAGTAGTGGTTGTACTGGGCTCCCTGGCTGCCGCTGCTGGGGTGGAAGGAGCTGTAGTAGGCAGGGGAAGGTCCTGCAACTCGCTGCAGCTGTTCTGGCGAAGGCACCTCCTGAGAAGAGCTGCTGGAAGGGGTGAAAGTGCCACTGCTCAGCTGTCCAGCAGAGAAGTTCCTGTGATGCAGGTCACTGCTCAGCCCCCCTGTCAGCCGGCCGCCTCCGCCGCTCAGGGAGCTCATGCCGCTGAAGAAGGTGCTGAGGCAGCTGGGGGTGGATGAAATGATACCGGAGGGAGAGGAGCTTTTCGGATGGTCCCTGGCGGAAGGCGAAGGGTCCAGCTCCGGGGGTGGGCTGGTTCCACACGGTTTGCCTCCAGCTGCAATGGGTCGTTCTTCCTCTGTTTTCAGGGCCCCGAGAGAGGAGGCTGCAGACGCGCTCGCAGGGGTGTTGGGCTCCGAGCGCCGCTTGCGTTTGCGGCGGAAGTTCCCATTGTCAAACATCTTCTCGCAGTTGGGATCTAAGGTCCAATAGTTTCCTTTCCCTGGTGGGAAACAGGAGAAAGAAGAGAGAAAGTCAGCCTCTGTGACAGCGAGCCCTGCTGCAGAAAAATAAGCCATATTCGTGCTCTGCCCCATCAGCACAGCACCCGCACCTCTCCTACAATTTTCTTCCTCTGCCTGTTGTCCAGTACAAGAACCCAAATCCTGGCCCCAAGACATTATCACCTTCCTATGTCCCCTTCTTATGGCCATGAGAACCTTAATGCCACACAGAAAAGAACCTCCCCACCACTGAGATGCCTCAACCTCCCTAGAGGATCTCCACCTCTACCTCAGACCAGGCTGAAGGGAACACAAAGCAGGGCTCCGGCTGCCTCACAGCAAACAGGGGCACCCACACCTCGGCCATGGCTGATGAAATGGAGACCCTGCCACGGCTCTTCTCAGAAGAGCTGCTGGAAGGTGGGCCTGCAGATCCAGGTACACCAAGGGGCCAGCAAGGCCAGCAGCGCTGCGCAGTGCTGCAGACAAGGTGCCATGTCACTTTGAGGTGCCATTAGCTGTCCCCACACACCTCTTGCATGTGGCTAATGAGAGCAGCGACCCCACAGCGTCCCCCCGGAGACCCCAGCCCTACATGTCCCCTCCCTGCCCGGCTTCACCAGCACCGTGGCAGCACACCCCAGCACTACGCCCACTCCTGGGCACCGGCTGCGCCCCGGGGCTGGGCCGGTGAGCGCGGGGCAGGGAGGGGAGCCGTGAATCATGGCCGAAGGATCCGAGCCTTGCACAACCGGCACTCCCGGCCTCAGCCCACCCGGCCTGCCCGGGCAGGGGGACGGAGGGCTGGGGTCAGCCATCACCTCCAGAGGGGACAGCAGCAGGGGTGAGGAGGGTGAAAGGAGCCCCATGTCCTCTAAAGGGAGCAAGGCAGGGGGAGGTCTCCTCATGGAGACCAGGCTTGAGGGGCTAAGGGCACCCGGTCTCCTCATAGGGCTGTCCCGGGGAAGTACAAGGAAGCCTGGTCTCCTCAGAGCAGGGCTTGAGGGGACAAGAGAGACCTGAGGGGACAGAAGAGCCTGGTCTCCTCACAGTACTGGGCTTGAGAGGACAAGGGAGCCCTGAGGGGACAAGGAAGCTTCGTCTCCTCACAGCACTGAGCTTGAAGGGGTCGGGGGAGCTCAGTCTCCTCACAGCAGCGACTGTGAGGGGACATGAGAGCCTGGTCTCCTCAGTGCTGGGCTTGAGGGGACAAGGGAGTCCAGAAGGGATAAGAGAGCCCTGAAGGGACAAGGTAGCCCTGAGGGGACAAGAGATCCTGGTCTCCTCGCAGTACCTGCTGTATGGGGACAAGGGAACCTGGTCTCCTCGGTGCTGGGCTTGAGGAGACAAGAGAGCCCTGAGGGGACAAGGCAGCCTGGTCTCCTTACAGCACCGACCATGAGGGGACAGGGGAGCCCTGAGGGGACAAGGGAGTCCTTAGGGGACAAGGGAACCCTGAGGGGACAAGAAAGCCTGGTCTCCTCACAGCGCTGATCATGAGGGGACAAGGGAGCCCTGAGGGGACAAGGGAGCCTGGTCTCCTCAGTGCTGGGCTTGAGGGGACAAGGGAAACCTGAGGGGACACAAGGGAGCCCTGAGGGGACAGGAGAGCTCTGAGCGGACAAGACAGCCTGGTCCCTTCACAGCACCGATCATGAGGGGACGAGGGAACCTGTTCTCCTCAGCGCTGGGCTTGAGGGGACAAGAGAGCCCCGAGGGGACATGTGAAACTGGTGTCATCGGTGTCAGCCCTGATGGACAAGAGAGCCCAGAAGGGGACAAGGGAACCCTAAAGAGGGGACACGGGAGCCCTGAAGGGGACGAGGGAGCCCGGAAGGGGACAAGAGAGCCCTGAAGGGGACGAGGGAGCCCTGAGTGGACACGGGAGCCCTGCAGGGGACACGGGAGCCCGGTCCCCTCACCCCGGGGACCCCAGGGGGGGACTCTGCGCCCTCCGCCCGCCCCCCACCGCCGCGCCCGGCCTCACCGGGGTCGTCCTCGTCGCGGGGCACCTTTCGGAAGCAGTCGTTGAGGCTGAGGTTGTGGCGGATGCTGTTCTGCCAGCCCGCCTTGCTGCGCTTGTAGAAGGGGAAGTTCTCGGCCACGTACTGGTAGATGTGGCTGAGGGTCAGCTTCCTCTCGGGGGCGCTCTGGATGGCCATGGCGATCAGCGCCGAGTAGGAATAAGGCGGCCTCACCAGCTTCAGCAGCTCCTCCTGGCTGGCCAGGCTCAGCCAGCTCAGCTCCGCGCCGCCCGCCGACGGCGACCCGGGGGCCGGGGGGGAGCCCACCAGCTGCCCGCCCCTCGAGCAGCCGTACGAGCCCGGCGGCAAGAAAGGAGCCGCGGCTGCCGCTGCTGCAGCCGCTGCGGAGCCCGGCGGGGGGCCCTGCAGGTAGGGAGCGGGGCTGTTCATGCCCCACAGGTAGCCGGCGTTAGCGGGAGCCCCGTAATCCCCCAGCCCGTAGCCCCCCGCCCGCTGCCCCGACGAGGCGGCGGCGGCGGCGGCGGCGGCCGCGGCAGCGGCGGCGGCGGCGGCGGCGCCGGGCGGGTGGAGGCTGGGCTGGGGGTAGACGCTGAAGTTTTCTCCGCAGTACACCGCCATCTCGGGGGCTTCCTGAGCGCTGCGGGGTTGAGGGGGCACCGGGGCGGCTGCCGGCGCCGAGGGTCTGGGCTGCGCCTGCTGCAACTCACCGGCGCTCATAATCCCTGGCCATGCAGGGCCGGCCGGAGCTTGCTTTCTCTCCCTCCCCCCCCCAAAAAAAAAAAAATCTCGGGTCTTCCTTCTTCTGGCTTGGACCCACCGCCCTCCCCCCCACCTTCTCGACAAAAAAAAAATAATATATATATATATATAATAATAATAAAAATCCCAAAGGGGGGTTGCGGAGCGCCTTGCCTTATAGGCGCTGCCCGTGTGCCCGGCCTCCCCGCCCGCGGCCGCGGGGCGCAGCCAGTAGCGCGGCTCCGGAGGCGGAGGGGGGCAAGGCCGGGCCCCAAAAGCGGCCATGGGGGAGGGACCCGGCTGGGCAGGGGTGGGGGGAGCTGTGGGGTTTGGCCCCCGGAGGGATCCCTCCCCTCCCGGCCCCGCCGCCCCCTCCCCGGGGTCTCCGCGCCGAGCCCCCGCACCCCCCGGGGGCGATCGTCCCCGAGCTCTCCGGTCCCAAAACGGGGGTTTTTGGGGGGGATCGGCAGCGCCGGGGGTGCCCCGACGGGTGTGGGAAGGGTGAAAATCGCTTCAAATCCTCATTTAGCCGGCGCTGAGATCGCGCCTAATTGAGCTTTAGGAGAAGGAATTGCCCGAAATGAAGCAAACAAACAAACAAACAGCATCCAGCGCTCGTACCGCGGGAGGAAAGGGCTAATAAAAGTTGATTTTCGCCTATCTGCGTGCAGGGGGGATTTTAGGGAAAGTGGGTCCTTGTGAAGGGGGAAGCCCTTGGGATTCACGGGGTCCGGCACCGCGGGGTTTATAGGGGAAGCTGCGGGGATGCGAAGCCCCTCTCGTCCGGGACAAACACCAGAAGCACACGGAGAGACGCAAAAAACTACGGCCGATGGTGCAGGAGAATTTAGAGAGCCTTTGTCAGTCCCTTTGGAGATGTAAATCCCCGGGTCTTAAATATGATTGTTATTCAATTCCGTTTTCTGCTGATAAAAATGGGTAAAAATCCCCTTCCCAGGTACAAGTGCGAAGCCCCCGGGCTGCCAGCACCGGGTGCCTTGATGTGACATCGGGGCTTGGGGGAGAGAAGACTGTTTGGAGAAAGTCCCCTCGTTTTATTCCTTCGATAAAACAGTTTAAAAAACACAGGTAAAACCCTGAAGCTGGACCGGGGCAGCTTTCCCGGGCTCGCTCAAATCAAGAATATTCATTCCCTGTGTGATCTAAGCAGGGATGTAACGATGGGAGGATTTTTGTCATTTTATTTCGTTTTGAAACAAGTGGGCAAGTTTGGGGATGGAGAAAAACTTAAAAGTGAGTGTGACAAAGAAGTATGATTTTGGGTTTCCTCCTTTAATCATAAAGGGAGGGTTTTTGTTGTTGTTTTTCTATAGTTATTTTGTTTCTTTCTGTCTTCAACTATTACTGACAATTTTGTTTTGTATCTCTTTGGGAAAGAAGTTGCCATCCGTCTGTGTGTGCGTGTATCTGGGTAGTGAGAGCAGCAGGAGAAAATGTCACATCATGTTTTGCAAGGTGTCTTTTCCCTTCCCTGCTTCCTTGCCTGTAAACATTTATTATTTCTAACAGCTCCGCAGCGTGTTGGAGAAGGGTCGCGCTGGAAAATGCTCATTTGCAGTTTGACCGGACAGCGGGCATCCAAAGCAAGAAGTTTATCGGCAACTCACAGCTAGAAAGGGCATCTGAAGGACAAGAAGCAGGTAGATCTTTAAGCACGATTTTCCTCTCAGAAAAAAAAGAAGAGCTAAGCTGAAAATATTATTCTATAAAATTACAAAAAATAAAAAAATAAAAAAAATCAGCGTTTATCCATTCACTTAAAAAGCCTGTGATCGGTGAGGGAGGGAGAGGAGCCGGAGCGGTATCGCCGTATCACTCAAAATTGGGGTTTTCGCTTCAGGGATTTGATGGATTTGGGCAAAGGCAGAGCCATCTAGAGGAGCAGCCTGGCTATTGCGAGGCGGGGAGGCAGTTTCCCTCAGAGGCATGGTATGCTGCCTTCGAGTTTTCTTTAGTTGATTCCTCTGCTTCCAACAAAGGAAATGGGTGAGAAAATAATGCTGAATTAGCTCTAATAAAAATGCGTGTCCTCAGAAAACTCCAGCATGCTTTCCCAAACACTAGGGAATATGAAACAAAAATAGCTTTGGAGAGGTTATTACATAGCCAGGATGGCATGGATATGCAAACCAACACTTAATTTTAACAAGTGGAGCTTTGATGGTGTGATGGTTTTGAAAATGTTTAATTTTCTTAATGCGTTTATCCTGTGAGTAGCACACAGCCTTGCCTCAATACATCGCCGGCTCTCAGTACAAACCTGTTGCTGTTCCCTTTTGCCAAGGCACGAGGAAAGCAATGTTAAGAGAGCTCTGCCTCTGTGCTTTCCAAACAGTGCTTTTTTTCCAGAGAGGTCTGGGCGACGTCTGCCTTTTAGAGACACGCGGAGAAGCTGGCAAGCGAGGTGCCGAAACACAAAACTGAAATCATTTCCAAGGTAAGAGGCTGAGGCTACTGTCCATCACTGCGAGCAGACTCGGAGCTGAGCTTGAGCAATGCTGTGAAATTCCTCTGTTATTACTGACTCACTGGGACATTCGTTAACATTGGCATTGCGAGCATGGCAGCAAGGTCCACGGGGCCGAGGGGCCCATGGCATGTGGGAGTCGGGGCTGGAGCATATCCCCAGCCAGCTGCGATTACGTGCGAACCTCCCCAGCGAGCTGCCTTTGAAAAGGTTTCAAGGCTTCCTGAGGAAATGTGCTTCGGGAGAGTGAGGTCCTCCCCGTCCCGGCGTTGTGGCAGTGACACCGCCAGCTTTGGGGGTGTGCTGGTCCTTTTCTTTCCTGCGGCCAGCTCTTTTCTCCCTGGTGTAAGACACTGTCTTTGCCTCTAAGGCCCTATCCTCTGAACCTATCCTCCGAACATGTAGGTACAGGCTTAGCAGTGCTGCTGTGAATCTCAGGTGCGTACAGCTGAACGCGGAAACCTGAAAATGCTTCAGACCTGAGCACCCAGCCTCGCAGCAGGAACGGATACCTGCACCCAGCGGGGTTTCTCTCCGTTTTTCAAGGATGCTGAGGTCTCGCCACAGTGATGGTGGTAGAGGAGTGAGACTCAACAGCCCATCTGGGTGCTGTTGGCTTTTCTTGGCTTTTCTCGTAGGAGAGACCAGAATCTCTTCAATGGCTCCGAACTGCTGCAGTGAAGCAGGAACCACAGGTTTGGTTTGTTTTGGCTGCATTTGCAATATAAGTCTCACTTTCTCCCTAGGGCTGACAAGAGGCAAGGCAGTAGCTCTGTGGCCCAGATATAAAAGAACCCTTCATGTGCAGATTGTATCTCTCTCCAGAGACACCAACAAAATTGGGAATATGGGGACAATATGGGAGAATTAACTTTTCTCTTGCAGTGGTCCAGGATGGTGGCTCCCCTTTATTTCTTCAAGAATATCAGCGAGGGGTTGACTGAGAACAGCTCAAATAAATTTTAAGGCCATGCATAGTACCACTCCCTTATTTACAGCTAAGCCTGCCCCTTCCCAGCTTTTGTACTTTACATCCATTAATCTGCTCTATGAAAATCTCTTTTTTTTTCACTCACCCTCTGATTTGTTCCATAAATGGGGAAGGGAGAGAGAATATCTGATGGTGGGCAATAGATGTTTCGCTGCAGTGATTCTGGGAAAGGTGTTCTGTGTACGTGTATACAGGCTGGAGTAATTTTTATCCCTTACCTAAGGAGAATACTGCATATTCCTCCCTCCCTGTATCTAGTCATCTATTGGACTGAAGTTCTGGCGATCAAATTTTGCCAACTTACCTTGTGATAAGATCAGAGGCTTTCAACCTTTCTTGATTTTTCAGACCCTACAACATTTCCTGGGGAGGTGTCCTCATTCCACGATTTTTCAGGCTACCGACAACAGGCTCGGTTGGGTTTTGTTTCTGGTTGCTGCTCACGGTCTCCTTAAAAGCAGTGCAGGCTGCCGACTGAGAACCGGTGAGAGATGGTTGGCATTTTGGAACAGCAAATATTTTCCCGGTGTGTTTATATGGCCCTGAGTGTGATGGAGCCCGCGGAGTCTGCCATAAAGCAAGGGATAAATCATAATTTATTGCAAGCTGCAGTTACTCAAGCTCTTTAGGCTGTCTTGGGTGAACCTCATCGCTGAAAGGAGCAGTTCTGCTCTGCGTCCACTCCTGGCTGCTGCTTCTGCCTGCTGAGCATGCAGAAGTGTTCCTGTGGGGAACAGAAACGGATCCAGGTCTAAAGAAACACCTTTTCCCAGATCTTTTTTTTTTTTTTTTTTTTTTTTTTCTTTTTCACCCTTACTATGTTCGTTTTAGCCGGGGCCACTGCCCTGATGCAGTTCACTACTTGGCCAAAGAAATTCAGAACAAGGAGAAGTGGAATTGCATCCCCTGGCGCTGGGGTTGCTTCAGCCTGGGGCTTGAGCCCTCCCGACCCTAAAAGCCAGGCAGAAAGCTGGCTTTCTGCCTCCCCTACGACTTTCTTCCCTCTCTGCAGTCAGTGGGTGACTTTCAGATTCAAATCAACCTAGCCCTTTTCTGAATAGGAGCTTGTTAGCGACTGATTAGCCAAAGTTTTGATAAAAGCTTCTTTGTTTGTAACCTCTGTAAGCTACTGGTAGCTGTACTCATAATAAAAGTGGGATTAAATAGACACCTTGGGAGTGAGGCAAGCGGGAATCGCAGGGTTTGGGGGAACAAGGGGATGGGGTCAGGTTTCAGCAGCTCAGTGTGTCACAAACCGGACTGGGAGCAAAGCCTGACTTTTTGGGTTTGGATTTGTGAGAGAAGAAGGAGAGGAGGTGGGAGACAGCGAGAAGTCAGCTGCTTGCAGCTGGATCAGGCACACGCTTTAGGTATTAGGAACAAGTCTGCAGAAGCTCTCAGCACTCTGAATTCCTCCTGCCGGCTCGAAGAGCATCCTCTTTTTGGGCTGAAGAGTCATAAAAAGTATTTAAAGATCCCCACTCCGATCCCACAAACAGTCCCTCCTCATTTTATTTTTGCAACAGTTAAAAGATCTTCCTGACAGCGAGGTGTGACTAACCTGGCAGTATCAGATCGTGTCTTTTCTGGGAGCAGTGGATCCTGTTTAAAGCTGGAACCTGACCCGGACTGAAATAAAGCAATGTATTTGTATTTTCCATGTTCTTGTTTTCATTAATATGGGATATCACAATGGGATATTTGAAATGGAACGTGGTGCTCTGTGCTGGTTGCTCTATACTGATGACTCTTGTACAATAAGGTGAAGGCCAACATTTTTGGTCTTAATCCATCTGAACACGCCACCTCTGCCCTGGAATGAGTAATGGAAGCAGAAGAAAGTAAAGATAAATTTCTGGTCGGCTAAGGTAAAAATAATCGAAACTGTTAGCAGATAAAGGCAGTAGCCACCACCACCAGCACCACAAGGAAATGGTGGAGTATTAAATTAATATTTCTTTTCCATGTTTGTTTGGGGGAGAAAATCAGATAGTGTATTAGTATCAAGTTCTGGTGAAAGAACATTTTGGGCTCTATTAATAACTAGAGATGATGTTAAAAAGCAACCACAGAAGTGAAATATTTTATAATTAGCCAGTCCAGGTAATTTATAGCCAAGAGTTTCGTAACTCTTGGAACCCGAATGTGTTGGAATATAAATGCTGATTTTTCATTTTGGGACAGTGAAAAGATTTTAGAGGACTATGAAAACTGATATCTGCTTGCTATTTAAAAGGACTGGGAAAATGATGTGGGTAATACTAAGACTGTTAGCCTGTCACAGGCAAGAAATAGTGGACACATCACTCGGTGAATGATTTATTAAAAGGAAAGCATAAAATTGATGCAAATGAGTGTGCATATATTGAAAACAAGCTTTGTCAAATCAAATTGCCATTGTTTTCCTCTAAGAGAAGCAACTCTTGTCACTGATTTTTGGAAGTGCTTGGTTGATACTACATTGGAGGTGGATTAGAAAAAAAAAAAAAAAAAAGTTAAGTGCAAATTAAGTGGATCTAACTGGTTAGAGATATCTCAGAATGTCACAGTGAAAAATGAATCCTTGAGTCTATTTGCAGGGAAATCCTTTGGAAACTGGTTCATTTTTCTGTCATTGATTTGGGGGGAAACCAAAGAATCATTGTCAACTGAATTGGTAGGAATCTAAAACTGGAACTATGTGTATACATGCAAATAATGAAGAGGACACGAGTCTGCCACCGTCTCCACATGGGAACTGGGAGCAGATGGGTAGGATGTATTTTGATATGGAAAAACAAAAGCGTAGAAAGAAGAACAAAATCTGAGACTGACAAAGTGATGGAGACCATCCTGGAAATAATTATATTTCATAAAGTAGTTGTGGTTCTTGTGAATAATCAGCTGCTCCTTGTTGTGACCTTGGGGTGAATGCAGCGTTGGAATAAGGAAACAATTTCATATTGGTGCTGTACTGAATTATGATAGTGCCTGTAAAAACATGAGTAGCAGGGGAAAGTGATAGGGATGAAGTTCTTTACAATTCAGTCAAGTTTATTTATTTATTTATTTACAAAAAAATATATTTTTTATTATTTATTTTTTTACAATTTAGTCAAATACAGAGGCGGGAAACTTTCAAATGTGTCAAATGTTGCAGAAGTCTCAGAAACCCTAGGGAACCTCAGACAGTTCTAAACACCTTCACATTGTGACCAACTTAAGTCCAAGGCACCCATTTTGACTATGGTGCATAATTGCTAGAACGAGTTAGTAGGGGTTATTGTGAATTCTTCACCACTTTTAAAATCAAGACGGGACTTTTTTTTTTTCTAATACATACTTGAAAGAAGTCAGAAAGAGAAACCTTAGCCTGAGTCCTTCTTCATGCATGTGAAATCTCCACAGTGATCTCCTAGCTTCCCATTTTCCCAGCATCGGTTGTGCATTGAACATTACTATACTTGGTCACTTTGCTGTTTCTAGCCCCAGACTCGGAGCTTCCCTTGGTTGGTTTTCTGTCTTTGCACTGGGCTTAATTTTGCTTGGTGCAGACACATCCAGTGGTATTTCTGTCTGGGTTTTAGTGCCCAGGTGATTTTGGTAATCTGGATACAGCTATGATGCCTGAACAGGAATTGTCCTCTCTTGGAAGTATGTCTCTTAGGAGAAGGGCTGAGCACCATGTTATCACCTAAGCCAAAAACTCACCCATGAGGAGTGTTCAAAAGATGCACAGCAACATGTGCTGAGACCTGCAGGCCATGTCTGCCATGAAGGCTACTGGCAAGAAACACTCTGAGCTCTGTCCAGTCATCTTGGCCATGTAGATGCTATCTGACATATAAAACAGGTGGGTGTTGGATGAGGAGAATCATAGAATCATGGAATGACAGAATATCCTGATTTGGAAGGGACCCATAAGAATCATCAAATCTAACTCATCAAATCTAACTCATGACTCCACACAGGACCACCCCAAATTAAACCATTTTTCTGAGAGCATTGTCCACACACTTCTTGAACTCCATCAGCTCAGTGCCATGACCACTGCCCTGGGGAGCCTGTACCAGTGCCTGACCACCCTCTGGGTGCAGACCCTTTCCCTAACCCCCAGCCCGACCCTCCCCTGTCCCAGCTCCATGCCATTCCCTCGGGTCCTGTCGCTGTCCCCAGAGAGCAGAGCTCAGCACCTGCCCCTCTGCTCCCCTGGTGAGGGAGCTGCAGGCCGCCATGAGGCCTCCCCTTGGCCTTCTCTGCTCTGGGCTGAACAAACCAAGGCACCTCAGCTGCTCCTCATACATCTTGCCCTTTAGACTCATCACCACCTTCATAATCCTCATTTAGACACTCTCTAGCAGTTTTATGTCCTTTTTATACTGTGGTGTCCAAAACTGCACCCTGTACTCAAGGTGAGGCCTCACCAGCTCAGAGTAAAGTGAAATGGAAGAGGAGCTACTAATGGAAGCTTTGGTCAGAGGGAAAAAAAAAAAAAAAAAAAAAAAAAAAAAAATAAGAATCTCCCATCATTTTGGGTAAAATCTCACTGCTAATGAGCAAGTTAGAGATATACCAGGATAATAGTGTGTCCCTTTTGAAAATCAGATGGATAGTCAAGGCAGTGTTGTCACATTGGATAACTTTGCTTTAAGGCAATGATACAAAACATGCAAGAGGCATTAGCAAGAATCACAACAGTCAAGATAAAATGATCCTGGTCAGCTCAAGGTTTGTTACCTTTCAGAAACCAGCCCTTTGGTTTCATCAGGATATAGGGCTGTGGAACAGGTGCTGTAATACTTATAGACATTTGGGCTCCTATGACAAATGCCAAGGAAGAATTTCTTTGATTTCTTCAAATAATTTCAGGCAATTTTCCACCAGTCAAGGCATGCCTAAGCCATACCTCGGAGTGAACCATTCATGTACTCAGTGTGGTACGTGACTGATTGGCACATGCCGAAGATTGGCAATGAAAGTACTAACCAAGAGCAAATAAGGCAAAGCCTGCAGGCTTTCATGAGGCTATAGAGTCTACATATGCAAAAGGGGGTGTAAGTGCAAACTAAACAGGAAGCAGAGCTGGAAAGCTCTGACTGGCATTTAGGAGACCAAAACTGGCAAGTAAAGGAGGAGCAGCTACTGGATACCCTCTGGAGCAGAGGTCTTCTGCAGTTGTACCCTCATTTATTTAACACAGCTTGGTTAGAAATGTGAACTGAGAAGGCTGGTTGGCTTATGGCTGGAAGAAATCAGCTACAAAATGGTTGAGCTAGAAGGACCAAACATACGAAGGAGTAAGGGAGATTCCTTCAGCCAAGAGCTCAACTCAGAAGTTGCCACTGAGAACCAGCTACAGAAGATTCATCAAGCCTTGATGTTGACCACCATAAAGCCAAGAAGGTAGGCAGGCACTGAGTCTGTAGGAGGACATTCTCCATTTGGCCAGTGATAAGCAGAATGGATAGGTGAGAAGGAATACATCCTCAGCAAGCATACCCAGAGCTGGGTAAAAGTCAAAAAGTAAGGGCAGTCAAAGAAAATAATCTTAAAAAGTAAGCAGTATTAAAACATTATTGTGAAAGTCCAAATCAAGATAGCCTTTTGTAATAGATGTAAAGGAAGAAGAACCAGTGTGTTCTCCACAACATTAAGGATAAGGCCAGCCCCCACATTCAAAAAAGAACAGGCTGAGGAGATGGGTGAAATATTACCAGACTCTACACAGACGACCGATCAAGAGATGAAGAGATTTGCAG